GGCGGCGGTTGTAGTTGATGGCGACGTAGAGCTCGGCCCCGTAGAGGACGGCATTCCATGGGCTGCTTCTGAGGGCGGTTCGCCCGACGCCTGGGCTGTCGAGCTTGGGTTTCCCAAAGTCTCATCCAGATCAGTGGTAGTAGCCGTCGGGTCGGATGGACTTGGGTTCGGCCTGGTAGAGGTGCTCTGCTCCCCATCGGGTCCCATTGATGTAGGCAGAAGGGTGTCGTATTGCAGTGACTGAACGTGACCGGGTGACCGGGCCGACCGGACCCGGTCAACCGGGCCTGTTCGATTCCCCGGTCTGAACGGACGAACTGACCGGGCGACCGGACCAACCTGAACGGGTGACCGGGCGAACTGACCGGGTGACCAAGCCGACCGGACCTGGTCAACCGGGCCTGGTCGATTCCGCTGTCTGAACGGACAAACTGACCGGGCGACCGGACCGGGCCGACCGGACCAGACGAACTGACCGGGCGACCGGGCCGACCCGACCTGGTCAGCCGGGCCTGGTCGATTCCCCGGTCTGAACGGACAAACTGACCGGCGACCGGACCAACCTGAACGGGTGACCGGGGTGACCGAGCCAACAGGACCGGACGAACTGACCGGGTGACCGGGGCGACCGAACCCGGTCAACCGGGCCCGGTCGATTTTCGGTGTGAACGGACAAAATGACCGAGTGACCGGACCAACCTGAGCTGGCGACCGGGCGACCGACCACACCCGGTCAACCGGGCCCGGTCGATTCCCCGGTCTGAACGGACAAAATGACCGAGCGAAACCTGAACGGGCGACCGGGCGAACTGACGGGTGACGGGCGACCGGACCAACCTGAACGGGTGACCGGGCGAATTGAACGGGTTCCCGATCTCAACGCACGAACTGACGGGGTCAACCTCAACGGGTGATCGGACTAACTGACCAGGTGACCGGGCCGACCCGATCCGGTTAACCGGGCCTGATCTTTCCCGGTCTGAACGGACGAACTGACCGGGTGGCCGGACCAACCTGCACGGGTGATCGGACGAACTGACGGGGTGACCGGGCCAACCGAACTCGGTCAACCGGGCCTCGTCGATATCCTGGTCTGAACGGACGAACTGACCGGGCGACGGGACCAACCTGAACAGGGTGATCGGTTTAGGGTTTGGGACTGTGAGGGTTTAAGTTTTCGGGCTTAGGATCCTCGGAGCAGCTTGTGTTAGACGGTGCTACCCGTACTGGGTGTTTCATGCACAATGAAAGTGTCAAGTAGAAGTTTGTCGAAATGGCACGTGTATTTAATCATTCGTTGCATGTGACTGCTGCACATAGTGCTCTGGTTAGAAAAGAGTGTGAATGCATGCCATGGTATCCAGCTAACCAACACTTGGACGGGTATACTATATTACATCAGTGCGTGTGCTACCATCTGGTGTTCCTATTTGGTTCTATAGGTTATCAGCCGTATAGCCGGCT